GCAACCTCTAGAACTATAAACCAAATACATGCCTATTCCCTGTAAATTACCTAGACTTGGGCATTCTGTTATAGCCACAGAAAATAGATCATGACCCTTGTCAGTGTTTCCTAGACTAACTTGACCATGGCATCTGTCCATCTTGAAACACCATTGAAACAAGATGATACTGTTTCTTAGCAGAGAGCTGTTTGGAAGATTCTTTGTCCCCTTTATATCATCCAAATGAACAGCAACAAATAAATGGCTTTGAGAAAGTGAGGAAGAAGAGGGGTACCCAACAGTTCTGGGGTGTCACTATTAGAGGAAGAACATAATTTATAGGGCAAATAGGGTCAGAAGAGCCACAGCTTTGTTCCTAACTCTGTCCTACGGCTTACAACAAGTTGCTGGGCAAATCATGCTACTTCTGGGCAACAGACTCGTCTCCTGGGTAGGAGGTATGCTTTAAAAAATAACCACACCCCATCCTTTTAAACCACTGGCCACCTTCGGAAGTCTGTGTGGCAGGTTCAACTCTTTGGTTTAAAAAGTAATCTTTTTTTTTTTTTTAAATGTGTAGCCCAGGCTGGCTTTGAACTCGTGATCCTCCTGCCTCTGCCTCCTTCAGCAAATCCTACCGGTGTGCACCACCACAACCAGCTAAAAAGTAATCTTTCCGGGCTGACTGTGTGGCTTCTTGTGGAGAACTTGCCCAGCATGTCCGAGGTCCTGGATTCAACCACCGGCATTTGACAGGGTGGATTAATGCACCTATGTTCCGAAAGCCCTCTTTCAGAGTGTGGTCCCTCCAACTTTGTCGATAGAGGCATGAGACTCTTTAGGAGGGCAGCTGTAAGATCTCAAGGCTCAGATCCAGATTTCTGAATGAACCCTGGGAGCCAAATTATGTCAGGCGCATAACTACACCTGCCTACTGAAGCTGTGTGAGCAAGGTATATAGAATTCGGGAAGATACAGATCGACGAGATTATTGGCAAGCGAGAAACGGAACCTGAGACTGTCCTGTTTGAAATCCGAGCCGCTGGCTTGTTTTTCTGAACACTGTGTTTCCAAAGATACAACCTGGTGGTTTGCAGTGTTAGCGGCAAAATTCACTGTAGCTCAGCGCGATTCATTCTGCGTTACTTCTGTTTTAGAATAAATAATGAGAGATCAGTTCTCCAAGGTCCGAGGGGGCTTCCTTTGGCTCTGATCTTGAAGCAAGGCTCTGTTAGTGCTCTAGGGGGCGCTAAGCTGAACTCACGGTTTCCTTGCCGTTAAAACAGAAGTCTGCTAAAATAGCAGGGTTAACCGAAAACGTTTACAACGTGTATTTAAAAGGCTATCTGTCCATTAAAATCCCTGATAAAAATTATAGTCTCTGCTTGGAATGTGGTGTAAGTGTTGGTGACGATAACTATTTAATATTGTGCACAAGCGTGTGAGTGTGCACATTTGTGTGCATATGCACATGTGTGTTTAGGCACACATGTGCATGTGTGGATGCTAGTGGAAAAGGTTAGATGTTGTTCCTCCAGGGCTGTCTATTTTTTTTTCCTTTTTTAAAGCCTGGGTCTCACTGGCCTAGAGATCACCAAGTAGCCTGGGCTGCCTAGGTCTGCCTTCCCAGGGCGGGGATTTCAAGTGTGTGGCACCGTGCCCAGCTTTTTTATGTGGGTTCTGGGATGGGACACAGGTCCTCGTGCTTGCGAGGCAAACCCTTGAGCGCCTGAGCTGTCCATTAGTTTAGTTTGTGCTTCCAGGGCGGCTCAGGTAAATACTGTGTTAGTGATCTCTGCATAATTGTGAAATGACTGCACTAACCCAGGGTGGCACCTGTTAGTAACCAGGCCCCTGTCATCTGCTCGTTCACTATTTCTGCTGCTTTCCAAACACATGTGGCCTGGTAATGCTAGCCTGTGGGTCAATTCCAAAGTAGTCGAGAGTTCAAATCACTGATGTTGTTGTTGTTGTTGTTTTTAGCATAAAGTGTTCTCCCCATGAGAAAACAAGGAGCCTAACTTATCTTTCTCCTTCCTGGTTCATATCTCTAAAAATGTCCATCATAACAGTGTATAAAAGGCTTATGCTCTGAAGCAAGCTTTAAGGACTATCAAGGAGAATGGGAAACAGTGACAGACCATGCCCTTCCTGGCTCTGGCTCCAGTATCACTGTTCTTGAGTGCTTTGGGGCTGAACTCATAGACACAGGCATTGGGACTCTGTGTCAGAGACCCCATGGAAGAAGGAATTCCCATACTAAACCCCACATCAAGTCCCAGCGCAAGCAGATCCCCTACCAACCCAAAGCAGAACTAGTAGCGCTGTGAACAGCGCTTGACACACAGCAGGGACTCAATAAATGTCTGTTAAACACTGCCATCTGGGAAGCCTGGGAGTAGTTGTGTAAAGCACTGCCCGGAGCTGTTTATCTCGGTGACTAGAGCCTTCATGTCATGTGCGTTGGATGCGTGCCCGACGCCTAGCTCCTACTTTCCCAACCGGGGCATTGTTGACATCTTGGGCTAGATAATTCTGTTGGAGAAGGAGTAGGGAATGCTATTCTGTGCACTGTCTGGGACCTAGCTCTATCCCTGACTTCCACCCACTAGATCCCAGTGGTGTTCACTGCTCCTCATAGGGCCAAAGTGTCTCCAGGCAGCACTAGATGTACTGATGCCGGGGGATTATGTAAGACAACCCCTGACTGCACATTACTTATCTAGTCTTTAAATTCATGGTAGGTATCAGCATCAGAAGAAGACACTCTCCTCTCTCTCTCTCTCTCTTTCTCAGTTCCCTCTCTCTCTCTCTTTCTCAGCTCCCTCTCTCCCTCTCAATATTTTCCATTTTTTGATTTTATTTTATATGTATGAGTGTTTTACCTGTGTCTATGTCTGTGTCCCATGTGTGTGTCTGGTACCCGTGTACGTCAGAAGAGGGCCTGGTATCCCCTAGTAGTGGAGTTACAGATGGTTGTGAGCCACCATGTGGCTGCTGGGACTCGAACTTGGGTCCTCTGGAAGAGCAGCCATTGCTCTTAACCGCTGAGCCATCTCTCCAGCCCTCTTCGTTGTTCCTGAATCAGCATTTCTTGGTTCAGTTGTTGAAAGCATCAGAGTCTCTCAGTGTGCTTTCATCGAGTTCCCCGTCTGTACTCTCTTTCATATACCTAGGGAGAACTTCCCGGAGCCTCTATGAAAGCCTCTATGCTCCCCATAGGGGAAAGAAAATATATAGAAATTGGACCTGTAGCTGGCAAGACCGATTTACAGAATTGAACATGGCCTGACTTTGGGCCGAGGAAAGAGGACAGACTCAAGTCCCTAAGTGGAGTTCATGTGTATGTGAGCCTCAAATCATCCTTTGTGTTAAAAGGAACAATCTTCCTTTGCTTTCCACACATTCTTGTCATCTTAACACCAAACCTCCAAGGGGTATGTGTGTGTGTGTGTGTGTGTGTGTGTCTGTATACACATACATGTCTGTATGATTCATGTACATGTGTGTGGAGACCAGACGTTGAAGGCTAGCACCCTCCCTTATCACTTTTCTACCTTCTTTGTGTGTGTGTGTGTGTAGTGTATGTGTGTGCATGTGTAATAGGCATGTACATGTATGTATACATGCTTGTGGAAAGTAGGGGCTGGTGGTGGGCATCTTCCTCGATCACTTCTCTACCTTAGATGCCTATGTGTAACGCATGTGCAGTCTATGTGTGTGAGCATGTGTGCCTGTGTGTAACGCATGTGCAGTCTATGTGTGTGAGCATGTGTGCCTGTGTGTAACGCATGTGCAGTTTATGTGTGTTAGCATGTGTGCCTGTGTGTAACGCATGTGCAGTTTATGTGTGTGAGCATGTGTGCCTGTGTGTAACGCATGTGCAGTCTATGTGTGTGAGCATGTGTGCCTGTGTGTAACGCATGTGCAGTCTATGTGTGTGAGCATGTGTGCCTGTGTGTAACGCATGTGCAGTCTATGTGTGAGCATGTGTGCCTGTATGTAACGCATGTGCAGTCTATGTGTGTGAGCATGTGTGCCTGTGTATAACGCATGTGCAGTCTATGTGTGTGAGCATGTGTGCCTGTGTGTAACTCATATGCAGTCTATGTGTGTGAGCATGTGTGTATATTATATATTTGGAGGCCAGACGTTGACATCTTTCACTATGATTCTCCACCTTAGCTTTTGAGATAGCACCTCCCACTGAACCCCGAGTTTGCCAATTGGCTAGATTAGCCCACCAGCAAGCAGACCTTAGGGACCCATTATATTATTTTACATCTGTGTCAAGGATCTGAACTTAAATCCTTGTTATCTCAGGGACTTGATCAACCAACCGATCCATCCCCCCAGGCTCTCTACCTTCCTTTTTGAGACAGGGTCTCTCACTGAACCCATGGCTCACTGATTTGGCTGGAAAGACTGGCCAACAAGACCCACGGATCCTCCTGTCTCTACCTTCCCAGCCCCGAGGTTGCAAGCATACATCCTCACACCCAGCTTTTTCCGTGGGGGTTCTGAACTAAGGTCATCACGCCTACAAGGGAAGCCATTTGGCAACCGAGTCACTGTCTCTGCCCCTCTCTTCACAGCCTTTTGATAAAGGTATCTCTTCCCCTCTCCAGACTTTGTTTTTATTTCCTGACTATTTATGTTATGAATATCAGGAAACCGTCACCACGGGCTTCGTGAGCAGTTTTTCTCAGCAACGCAGTAAACACCTCCGCTAGCTTTAGGGACCAGCAGCCTTAAGCATCCTGAGCAGAGAGACGGTGCACATGCAGAAACCAGAACCTTAGAATCCCCACAAGAATCCAGCCACTGGGCCAGCGGCCTGAGAATAACTGCACATCCATGTCCAAGGGTGAGAAATAATTTATGACAAAGCTCACGAAAAATTCTAATTTCCTTCATGTTGCTACAAGTGCAGTTTCACGCTTTTTAAAAAATGTGGGCTGGTGGCATTTTTCTCCCCTCTCTCCCCTTCCAGTGTAGAGTTAAACAGGTGCCCTTACCTCTCCTCCAGTGCACGGGAAAGCACTGGAATATCTCGACGTGCAGAGAGCTCCCTTCTTGACAACATCGTCTTCCAGGCCGAAAGTAGCCGAGCAGTTGGTTGCAAAGTACTTGTAAGGCTTCCACGTCTTTCCAAAGTCCTGGGACCGGTCCAGCACCATGGCTGCCGGCCTGGGGGACTTGAACACCATAATGAGGTGGGTAAAGTAGAACTCCGCTTCCAGGTCTAACTGGATCTTTTCTCGGTGCACGTCCTCCGCAGACTGCCACCACGTCCGGGGAAACCTGAAGGACGAATCGGCCATGGCCGAGGGCGGGTGGGCCAGGTGAGAGTGGGCCGCGTTGCACTTCTCACATTTGGGCTGCCGGCAGGTGAGATCGGCGTTCTCGCTGTAGAAGCAGAAGAGTTCAGTGGCATTCTGGCCACAGGTGCTGTCTGCCCGGAGTTTTCTTCCCAGAGCCAGGTTGCCCATGCGAGGGTTGCAGGCCTTCTCGCAGCGAGAATTAGCACCGGCTACTCCGCTCAGACCTGTGGAGGGGAGAGCCGAGGTCATTCAAGACAAACTCACTGGAAATGGGAGTGATCTGCTGTGTCCCTGATTTATCCGCAACAGTCAAGATATCCTCCAAAGACCTCGGGTCTTTCTATATGAGAAGTTACCACACTGGGCCATGAACACTATCAGAACTCACAGTGATTCCTGTATACAAGTATGTGTGTGTGTGTGCATGCCTGCAACTGAATGTGTGTACAAGTGAGTGTGAGCATGTGTGCATGTGGAGGCCAGAATACCTTGGGTTTTGTTCCTTAAGATACCATTTACCTTTCCTTGTTGCCTTTAAATTTAGTGTGTGTGTGTGTGTGTGTGTGTGTGTGTGTGTGTGTGCAGCCTGTGCACACAGGTGCATGAAGAAGCCAGAAGATGGTACTGGATCCCCTGGAACTGGAGTTACAGAGAGTTGTGAGTCCTAGTGTCCAGTGCTAGGAACTCTGCAAAAGCAGCCAGTGCTCTTACTCACTGAGCCATCTCTTCAGCCCTCCACCTTGTGGCTTTGAGACAGAGGCTCTCTCTCACTGGCCTGGAACTGCCAAGTAGCCTAGCCTAGCTAGCCCGTGAGATCTACAGATCTATTGGTCTCAGCCTCTCCAGTGTTGAGTAGTAAATGCACTATCACACCTCACCTTTTGATGTGATTGCTGGGTACTGAACCCAGCATCTCATGCCTATGTGACAAGCATCTTAGCATCTGAGCTAGCAATCCCCTCATCCCCTTCATTTTCTTTATTATTTGTTATGCTAGCCAGCAAATGGGGGGCAATGTTCTAGGAAAATCAACACGAGATATTTAATAAATATACAGTGGGACCTCAGTTCAGGTGGCAACGCTAGAAATCACTGGCTCTTAAATGTGTAATATCCATGTCTAACATCAACTAAATATGACTATTAAAAAAAAAAACCCTCCAAACTACCAAACAACGGGAAGCCTTATAGTCCCTGCTCTCTAATTCTTAAGTGTTTCTTCCTATGGCAGGCTGGCAGTACTTACCTGTTAGCTTAGCTGGAGAATGTTGATGGGCTGGCACACCAAACCGCACCTCTAACAACGGCCATGAACTAAGCATCGTCTTAAAGAGACATACTCTTCCTCCCAAGGTTCCCACCCACCTTACTGTTTCAGAAGTACTTAGAACGATAAACAGTATCCACTTAGCCACATTCTGGCTACCTGTCATAATCCTTTAATTTGCGTTTGTCATTTTGATTATGAATACCATAAGCAAAAAAAAATTGTCCATTTAAGAAAAATTAAAACACAGAGGAAAAGAGGGAAAAGGAAACCAAACCCCAAATTCCGGCTAATTGAATGTTTCTGCTGAAGAGCCAGACCTCTGAACTGCTATCATAGGGGCACTGGATGGGAGGCAAATGACAGCTTTGACGGGAGAGGAGAGGTTTCACACAGCGACAATCACCGCCCCACACAGGCTAGGACCAAATGAGGGGCTTCCTCAAGGCGTTATGTTTTAAGTGTCAAATGAAAATGCGGCCTGGGCTCAGACTGTTTGCCATTGTTCTGATTAGCAGGCGCAACAGCTGCCTGTGGCCAGAAACACACAAACACACGGTGTTATGACTCACCTGTGAAGCATCCAGGGGGAAGCGCATACTGCCTATACAAGTAGCTGTGACTTGCAGCACTCGCCCCGGTGGTTTTTTTTTAAACAACCTCTTGATTGCTCCCTTTTTTTTGGGGGGGGGGGTCATAACGTGATTTGGAAAGGGGAAAGTTTATGAAAAGTTCACTTTGGGGATGTGGGAGCGTGGATGTGCAACGCGTAATAAGGAGTGTGAGCAGGAAGAATCCGAGTGAGCTCTTTAACATTGAGAAGTCTGACAGATCCTTGGGGGGGAAATAATGAATAAACGTTTCCGCACCCTAGTAATTCGGTAATAAATAGTTACCGGTGAGCATAAACAGTGGAGATCCCTGGACTGACTGTGGGGGGTATATGCTGATGGATGCAGACTTTCCAGCCAGTAGGTCTGAGGAGAGGGTGGAAGCAGACCAACCAACCAGATGCCTACCACAATGCTCTGAATCTTCCAATCGGCTCCTCTAACCTACTCCCCACTCTCCTCTAACTCCACTCTCCAGAGCAAGTCACGTCGTCCGTCTGAGCGAGGATGAAATCAGGGTGCCTCACCATCTCTACCCTGTACCCCACCGTGCTGTACTCAGCCCAACTGAAGGCCAGGTGGCCTGCGAGAAGGAAGGAAGAGAAGAAGCTCAGGGACCCAGAAACAGCGAGCCTGGAACCGGTGGCCTAAGGGCAGCCCAAGAGAGCCTGGACTCGGGTTGGAGGGAGAGGACGTCTGACGGTTGCCCCGTAGTCCAGTTACTGAGCCAACCCAAGAGCAGACCCGCCTCCGACCTCCTGCAGAGCCTCGGCCAGGGTACCGATTCCCCAGGGGCGGTCAGCCAGCTCCGAGCAATCACCACCTGAGTGATCCACCCCCCATGGTCCCCAGCTTCGAGTTCTACAACGTTGGAGCCACCGACCCGGGAAGAGGGCGCTCACCCTCACCCTAGGTGGCCCTACCTGGTTCCCAAGTACACAAAATAAGATCCGGGAAGGTGGTGATCGCTCTAACTGAGAGAGCGATCTCAGCCCACGCACGCCCAGGGTCTCTGGGCCACCCCTCCTCGTCACTCCTCAGGCCATGGAGAGCCCGGGGATGGCGAGCTGGGTCCTTTGTTCCCCTCGCCAAGTGCAAAGGCAGTTTTTCACCCCCGAGCCAAACCCAGAAAGAAACACTGATCTCCCTATCTCCTGTAGGGCGTACCCAGGATTTCTGGTTATTCAAGGACATGTGTATCTCAGTAGCAGGGGAAAAAAAAAATCAAGTGTTTGAAAGTGCGGAGTCGCGGGCAAAGGAGATGGAACATGGCCACTCGCTTCATCCTCGGTAGCCGAGCTCAGGGTTCCCTGTCCGGGGTCCCCTACATCCCCCAGTCCCCGAGCTTGGGGGTGAGGGGGGGCAGGAGCAAGGGAAGAGGGGTGGGGGCCCGGCCGCGTCACCACCCACCTGCGGCCACCGCCGAGCAGCCCCAGAGCAGCAGCAGCCGTGCGCAGCTCCCCATGGCCGGGCAGCGGCGGGAGCGGGTGGGATGAAGCGGCAGCGGTCCTCGGGAGCACCCGGGGCTCGGTGGTTCTTCCTTCTCCCGGG